GTATGGGAAAACCTGGAAACTAGATTTGAGGGTACTAGTGATGTCAAGCAGTCAAAACTACAGATGGTTCTGTCAGAATTCGAAGCTCTCAGAATGAACGAAGAGGAAACTATTTCAGTCTTTCACAGTCAGGTACAGAATCTTATGAATAGAGCCGCTATTCTTGGTGAACCTTTCACCGATTAGAGAGTTGTCAAAAAGATCCTTTGATCTTTACCCAAACGCTTTCGAATGAAAGTAACTACTATTTAGGAACACACAGGAAGGGAAAAGAAGAGTGTAGGAGAACTCATGGGAAGTTTACACACATACGAACTTGAATTTCTGGCTGATGATGATCCTGTTTCTAACAGAAAAGGCAAGTCAGTAGCCTTTGTGGCCGAAGCTGATCGAGAATCCCACACAGAGGACATAGATGATGAAACCTTGGCCCTTCTAACCAAGAACTTCAAGAAAATTCTGAAAGGCTTCAACAAAAAGAGGCAAGGACAATCTACTAGGTCACAATACAAAGGTAGTAACTCCTCACATCAGAAAACTGAAACCGCACCGTTCTCTCAGAACAATCAACCTCAAACTGTTCGGACAAGGCAAAACCGAAACAGTACCACATATACAGGAAGATCTCTCAACCGATGAGTGCAATGTAGAGAATGTGAGGGTTTTGGGCATATACAGGCTGGATGCGCAACATATCTCAAAAGGAAGAAAGCTATGTCGGTCGCTACTCTAAGTAATGAGGAGGAGGAACCTACAAATGATCAGTCAGATGACAATGTAGGAAATTTTGTAGCCTTCTTTACAACTACAGAGAATCAGTCAGATGATAATGAATCCGATGAAGAGTCCTACATCTCTACAGATGATTTTGAAGAGAGGCATACTCAGCTTGAAATGGAATTTGCCAAACTTGTTGCAAGTTGGGAATAACTGGTGAAAGTCAACAAGAATCTAAATGAAGAACTGAGACTGAAGGATGATCTTCTGAAGAAACTGAAAACAAATCTTGTCCTAAAAGAAGACCTTATAACACAGATAAGATTCCGAGAAGGAAAACTAATAATAGAATTGGAAGATTTGAAGAAGAACATTAAGATGATGGATACCACGTCAACTCTAGACAAAATTCTGGATTCTGGCAGAAATCCGAATGATAAAAAAGGTCTTGGGTTTGAGCGAGGTGATTCTTCGAAGAGTGCTCCTGTGTTCATCAAAGAAGGTTTGACAAGTCTGTCAGTTCCGAAATCTGTTTACAGTTATGATAAACGACAGTCCGTCAAATCAGTTCAGGAAGAATATAAGAGGAATGGGTATAATCAAACAGCAGGCATTGACTTCGGTAGAACTGCTCTTCAATCTAAGTACTCAAAATTCAAAAATAAGTTCGTCCGAGTCAAACAATACACTCCTACTTGTCATTATTGTCAAACAAAAGGGCACACCAGACCTGAGTGTTACTTCTTATGCAGAGATCAAAGAAAGGAAAAATATAAGAACAACACTATTGCACCCTTCAGAAGACAGGTATGGGTTAGAAAGTCAGAAGTGATATGTTACCCACGATAGTTCTAACCGCATCAATGACTGAAGCAAGATGGTATTTCGACAGTGGCTGTTCTAGGCATATGACAGGGAATGTGAAGAGTCTCAAGTCCATCCAACCGAGCAGTGGGTCTGTTACATATGGAGATGGACAAAAAGGTAAAATAATTGGAAGGGTACACTGAATGTACCTGGTTTACCACACTTGGAAGAAGTTCTGTTGCTCAGTGGATTGAAAGCTAATTTGATCAGTATAAGTCAGTTGTGTGATCAAAACTGGAATGTGTGTTTCAATCGCAACCCAATCTTCAGACAACTGCTATGTGTTGACAAATGAGATTGCCTGTCATTTATCAAAATCGGATGAATCGAAACTCTGGCACAGACGGCTGGGTCACATAAACTTCAGAGATATGGATAAAATGATCAAACTAGATGTTGTAAGGGGAGTTCCTATGCTCAGAATAGATCCGGAGAAGGTGTGTGGTGCATGTGCCATTGGAAAACAAATCAGAACCCCACATAAAGCAGTAAAAGTAATCACAACAGAGAGATGTCTAGAACTGGTTCACATATATCTCATGGGGCCAACACATATAGAAAGAATTTGTGGAAAGAAATATATATTTGTGTGTGTAGATGATTTCTCTACGTACAACTGGGTATATTTTCTAAGAGAAAAATCTGAGGCTTTCGGTGCTTTTAAAACTTTATGCATCCGTGTTCAAAAAGAAAAAGATGAGCCTATAATCAAAATTCAGAGACTGAGAAGTGATCATGGAAAAGAATTTGAAAACTCCCTTTATTCGGATTTCTGTTCAGAAAACGGGATATCACATGAATTCTCAGCTCCCAGGACAGCTCAACAAAATGATGTGGTGGAAAGAAAGAACAGGACTTTACAGGAAATGGCTAGGGTCATGCTGCATGCTTCTCATCTACCACAGCGCTTCTGGGCCGATGTAGTGCATACAGCCTGTCATACAGTGAATAGAGAGTATCTCAGACCTGGCACGACCAAAACACCCTATGAGATCTGGAAGGGAAAGAAACCTAATCTGAAGTATTTTCATGTCTTTGGAACTAAGTGCTATGTGCTGATTGACAGAGAACAGAGAGGGAAATTCGAACCCAAAAGTGATGAGAGCATCTTTCTTGGTTACTCTCCAAATAATCGAGCATACAGAATATACAACAAGAGAACTCAATCTGTGATGGAATCTGTAAATGTGGTTATAGATGACAACCCAGATGAGTCAATGGAAGCTTCAGTATCTGCTCCTGAGACAGTATCTCCTATCAATGAAGTAAGATCTAACAATGACAATAGTCATCCAAAAACTTTAAAATCCTTAGATGATGATCAAGAAAGGTCTGATCAAGAAAGCACTCATCCTGAAGATACAGGCAAAGACAAACCTACTAGAACTCAGAAAAACCTTCCATCAAACAACATCATTGGAGATCTGACAGATGGAATGAAGACCATAAGCAGAATAAGAAATAATCTTACGGAGATATCTGGTTCTGCTTGTTATACCTCAAAGATTGAACCAAAAAATGTTAAAGAAGCATTACAAGATGATCTGTGGATCAAGGAAATGCAAGAGGAACTATACCAGTTTGTGCGAAATCATGTTTGGGATCTAGTACCAAGACCTGATCGTGTTAACATAATTGGAACAAAGTGGATCTTTAAGAATAAGACAGATGAAGTTGGGAATATTGCAAGGAACAAAGCTCGGTTAGTGGCGCAAGGGTACACTCAGATCTAAGGGATTGACTATGATGAGACGTTTGCTCCTGTAGCAAGACTCGAGTCAATCAGGATTCTGTTGGTTGTCTCATGTATTATGGGATTCACACTATTTCAAATGGATGTTAAGACAGCATTCTTGAATGACTATCTACACGAAGATATCAATGTGGCTCAACCTAAAGGTTTTGAAGATCCAGATCATCCATCATATGTCTATAAGCTTCGAAAAGCTCTCTATGGTCGCAAACAAGCCCCACGAGCATGGTATGAACGACTGACCCAGTATCTGCTACAGCATGGGTATAAACGAGGAAGTGTAGATAAGACCTTGTTCGTAAAGGCAACTGGAAGTCATGTAACCATTGCTCAAATCTATGTTGATGACATTGTGTTTAGGTCAACCTTACAGAGATACAATGATGAGTTAGTGAAATTCATGAAGGACGAATTTGAGAAGTCCATGGTTAACTGACGTATTTTCTAGGACTACAAGTTAAGCAAAGTCCTGAAGGCTACTTTATCTTACAAGAAAAGTATGCTAAGAATCTAGTCAAGAAGTTTGATCTGGAATCGTGTAAACCATCCAGGACACCAATCTTCACCTCCACAAAAGTTTCAAAAGATGAAACCGGTGTATCAGTGGATAACACAGTCTATCGAAGTCTGATAGGAAGTCTGTTGTATTTAACAGCCAGTCGACCAGACATAATGTTCAGTGTTGGAATCTGTGCAAGGTATCAATCTGATCCTAAGGAATCACATCTGATAGCTGTAAAACGCAATCTGAAATATATAAAGGGAACAATGCAATATGGTCTATGGTACTCCAAGGACAGTGAATTGAGTCTTGTTACATACTGTGATGCTGATTGGGCAGGAAATATTGATGATCGAAAGAGTACATCTGGTGGATGTTTCTTTGTTGGTAAGAATTTGGTATCGTGGCTAAGTAAGAAACAAAATTCAATTTCTTTAAGTACTGCAGAGGCAGAATACATAGTTGCTGGTGGATGTTGTACTCAGTTAGTATGGATGAAACAGATGTTGTTGGATTATGGTCTTACTCAAGGGGTTATGACACTCTACTGTGACAATGTCAGTGCTATCAATATCTCTAAGAATCCAGTTCAACATTCCAGAACGAAGCATATTGATATCAGGCATCATTACATCAGAGACATGGTTGAATCCAAGGAGAATGAATTGGAATATATTCAAACTGAAAAACAACTGGCTGATATTCTGACCAAACCTCTCGACTCAAATCGTTTTGATATTCTCAGGTCTGCTCTGGGAATTTGCAGGATTGACAAATAAAGTAGTAGGTCATTCAGAGGGGAGTGAAGGTTTAATCAAACGGGTCAGTCTTATGGCTTGACTTCCTTTTAAAACTCCTCTCTATTTTGTTAAGTGGATTCTATAACTTAACATATCTTAAAGATCCTAATCCCTTTTCAATTTTCAAATTTCCTTGGGTTCCGTTGCCTTCCTAAAAAGAAGCTGTACCGTTGTGTCAATCACATCGCGTCTACATGATATTTGACTAGCCGCATTGATTAGGGTTCATCACCCTTAAGACCATTTGTTACCAGGACATTCTTGATAGAAGACAAATATCTACGAGTATCTCTGCATTCTGCTCTTTCTCTCTGCATCTCTGCATTCCTTGATTTCATCTTCTCCTCTCATAAAATCTCAAATGGCGAATGCTGTAAGAAATATCATCATCAAACTCGGAAGCAAGACACATTCTCCAGAGGTGGCCTTTAAGAATATTCAGACATTATTGCAGTTTGCTATGAAGAAGAAACTCAAGCTTGACCCTCTTCTTCGCGTTGAGATTTTGGTAACTGTGATGTCGAACTACCCAGAGTTTTATGCTGAATGGTCTGAAGACGATGCAACTGAACTGCTGATGATGGTTTCTGAAGCAAGTGATGAGGTTTCTCCAGTTTCTATTCCAGAACCCTCGGATGGAAATCGGGCCGGGGCATTCCTCCGACATTTTGCACAACGAGCCCTAGAATCTGCCGAGGACTCTCGACGGCGAGCAGAGTCGCAGCCCCTGTACCCCCAAGCTGCTCAAGATGAGACAAGACACAGACTGGACATCCTCCGAAACAGGTCAAACAATTCTGATTCTCCAATTGAAATTTCACCGGATAAACCTGATGATTTTGTGTCTAATGCTACTCCGTCTTGTGTGCCTGTTAACACTAAAAATTTATCTGCTTTAAACTCTGAGAAACCCCTTATACCTGTTGATCCTTCATTTCTGCCTTTGACTGAGCCTGATTATGTGAAAAATGATGTCTTGCATGTGTCTGATGAGAAAGAAAAATCATTTGATGAGCCCAATAATCCGAGTATGGTTGTATTTTCTATTAATAATATTGCTCTGCCTCCTGCTGAGATTGCCTCCTCCTGATGAGACTCCACAAAATTCAAAATACGAGAGGTTACTAATCTGCTTGGTGGCTCTTCTGCTCAATTATCTGATTCCAGTCACTCTGTGTCTCCTGTACACTCCCCATCCAAGGAGACAAGAATATCGAAGGGAAAGAATATACCTGTCAAGGTAGTGGTTGAATCTGGTGATGACACAGCAGATACAGATCAACCTGAGAAGAAAAGGAAGTCGAGTGAGCCTGTGAAAACTAAAACCAATCCTCCTATTCAACAAGTGTTTAAGACCTTAAGGTCTTCTGTTAAGCAAAAGAGTTCTGTTGCTGCTCAAACTACTGTTGTTCCACCATCTTCTTCTAGAAAAGGGAAGCCAGCTCTCATACCAGAGGAAGGAGTGTTACTCCTGAAGTTCAAGCTACTGAGACCTCTGACTTGTCCATCTACAGACCTCAGTTCGTTTCTCCTACTGCTCAAGCCAAGTGGTCTACCATGGTACGAAGAGATCTGATTGTTCAAAGATGTGTGGATGAAAATCATATGAGTTCTGTCTGTGATGTTCTGCCGTTGCTGAAAGAAGTCGGCCTGCTAAAGTCTGTTTCTGCCATCTGTCCTTATTCAAAGTTGCTCACCTACAAATTTTATTGTAATCTCAATGATGAGGTGGATAATTTGTCTGGAGTGCGACCAATGCAGAATTTCATTCGTGGGAAGTGGTATGTGTTTGGCCCTGATGTAATTAACGAGTACTATGGCCTGCAAGGAGTCCAAGAGGACGCTATCTCTGACTGGGATGTAGTGGCCAAGATTATAACTGGTGGCCAAGATGACAAATGGCCCACTGGAGATAAGGATACTTTGCCTAGCTCGCAGCTTACCTCCAAATATGTGATACTTCATCGTCTTGCATTGCACAACTGGCTTCCTTCAGCTCACTTCCACACTGTTGGCAAGCAATTGGCCAGTCTCCTATTCAGAATTGAAACGAAGATGACTATTGATCTGGGGGCATGGATATATTATCACATTCTCACTCTGATCCATCCGAGAGAACAAAACGTACGGCTGCCCTTCCCAAATTTGATCTATGGTATTCTTACATCTCAGGGACTTGAGCCTATGGAAAGTGAGGTGATCAGTCCGACCCTTTTCTACACAGTTGATCGACGACTTTTATCTGGAGATCATATCTGTGATGTTACGCAAATGAATGTCCCTTCCAATTCTGAGGCTGATACAGTGGTGGATGACTCTCCGCATGCACGAGATCTTCAACTCTCCATCCAATTGAAGGCAAGAGTTTCTGAACTTGAGACAGTCCATGGCATAATAGCAAAACAGCTAACAGGGGCTCGGACGGAATTAGCCACTGTTCTTCTTCGATTAAGCCTGACTGAGGCCACTGCTGCTGATCCAGTGAAGTCTGAGAGTGAGACTCCCTCCAATGCTTGACATGGCTTTGGCTCTCCTTTAGCAAAAAGGGGGAGTATGTCTTCAGGGGGAGTTGGTCTCAGGGGGAGCTGTTTGTGTTTGGAGTTGTTTGTGTACCTTCTGGCCCTGGCTGGGCGTTTGTGTGTTTGTGATGGCATCTGGTTGAAAAATGTTTTTCTTGACCTTGTTTTTGATCCAGCATGATGTGTATGTTGTGTTTCTATCTCTTCTTTGTAATCGAATATTGGGTCTGTGTTTGTTTTGGATAATCCTATCTTAGCCTTTTTGTAGTATTATATGTTTTTTTAAGTAATCGACTTGTTTTGCCAAATAATAGCCAAATGGGGAGTTTGTTAGTGTTTTATTTGCTCAAAAAACCCCAACCTATAATTGGCAATATTATTATGGCATACTAAGATAGGATTAGCTTAGTGTCAATTTTGTTCTACAAAGGACTGATCAATTAGACACAACAACAGAGCGACTGACACTGAAGATATGTTTTAGGAAGCTGATTTCTATAAGGTTGTACGCGGTATGAGAAGACAAGTTTGGAAAGAAGATCAGCGTATATATTCTGGAAAGGTATGGACCGAATTTCAAGATTACATTCTTCAAATATAGTCCTACCTTCTACAATCAAAGATATCTGTGGAGAGTGTTTATTGATGGAACTATAAATTACTCTTATTTGACGAGAATTAGGGTTACCCCTTTTGAGAGAGAAGAAACACTCCACTTGAGTTTATGAGATCTTATCTTTGATTCGACTGCACCTTCTCAACACAATATGTGTATGGTGATTATGATGATGAACATGAGAAGGATTCCTGCTGCTTAAAGGAAAGGACACTACGATCACACAGTTGTGGGAACAACTGAACACAGCGTCATTGAAGTGGACTGCATCAGAGTTGGCTCTCCAAGTGAAGGGATTTCCTTGGACTTCTGGATGCGTGGCTCTCCACCTTCAACAATTCACTAAACCTGTGTAGACTGGGTACGTACCTTGTGTGGGGCACTTGGGTGAGATTGTTATGTCTATACCTTTGTACATCCGATTATAATTTAGTGCATTGGACGCCTATGTGATCGTCCCCCAAACGTAGATACACACTGTATCGAACTGGGTAAACATCTTGTGTGTTGATGCGTGTCGTTATCTCTTTCTTTTATCTTTACCAAGATCTATCTTACTGACTGACCTCATCAACAAATTAGTCAGTCGATTTCATCAGTATATTAATCCGGTAATCTTTACTAAGAATGAGGAAATGCAAAATAACAAACAACACACAATAAACAATAGTTAAAAACTGTTGTCTTATATAGAAAAGACAACGGTTAAAAACCGTTGTCTATGCCTATGACTTAAACAACTCCGGTTTCTACAAGACCCTATAGACAACGGTAACAAAATCGTTGTCTTTTCAAGAAAAGACAATGCTTAAAAACCGTTGTCTATGTGCGTGACTTTTTACAACACCGGGTTCAACAGCACTCAATAGACAACGGATTCAAAACCGTTGTCTTTTTTAGAAAAGACAACGGTTAAAAACCGTTGTCGATGTTCGTGACTTTTAACAACACCGGTTTCAACAATAATCAATAGACAACAGTTTTGAAACCGTTGTCTATGTGCGTGACTTTTAACAACACCAGTTTCAACAACACTTAATAGAAACGTTGTTGTTTCTAGAAAAGACAACGGTTAAAAACCGTTGTCTATGCGCGAGACTCACAACAACATCGGCTTCAACAACAGAAATTTTACCCCTACGACAACGGGGAAAAATCGTTGTGTGTATGCATTTTTCTTGTAGTGGTGTCTCACTTGTTTTTTTTATATTTGGCTACATAGCTTTTAGCACATATCAATGGAGTAATAAAATTCTTTTATTTCCACAGGCAGTTAGTTGAAGGAAATTAATGGCTTTACAAACCCACCCACAATGCTCCATATAAAATATTTATTCTAATTAAGAGCAACCTCAACCGAATTGGTTATACATACAATTGGCTTGGTAACTATAAGATTTTTAAATTGACTTCCTCTGGTAGCTGTCTATAATCATTTTCAGTTTGATCCGAATTGTTCTGTGTTGGATAAAATCACACGTCCAAGGCGACTATCGACTTTCCGGCGTGTATATATTTTCTATTGGTCTTGTTTGATTTGAACCTCAAAAGACTCCTATTATGTGGACTCACATTCTCTTCTTAATCTTCTCCTAATATTTATTCCCATATTTAAATTCATGATGTTGACATTTTTGTGAGACTCACATAATGAATATCTCTTATCAGTTGTAGTAGAGAGACCCTATGCTATATAATTTAACTTCCCTGTAAAAGTTCTTGTATATATAATGGTGCAAATTCCCTTCATTTTCCATTGTTGGACATAGTGCTTCCTAGACTTTTCACCTTTATTTTCCAACCCAAATGAGTCTACTTTGAGAATCAATTTTTTATTAATCCATAATCCATAATCCATTTTGAGCGTACAATATATCGATCTCTTTGTCTCACTATGAAGAACCCGAATCCACTCTGTCCCGACCCAAATCAGAAGTTGACCCCACATATATTTGTACAACAAAACAACCACTTAAAATGTCATTTCACTTTATTTTTCCAACACAATCATGCCTAGAAAATATCTACTTTGGGATCAGTCTCAGCCAAGTTGGTTGAACAATTAATTTGGTCATCACAAAGTTTCAAATTTTACTCTTTGTAAGAGCTATCTATTGACATTCTCAATTTAAACTAATCAGCTATGAGCAACCTAAGTTGGTTTGATAGTTTAGCTCATTGTAGTCCTGTAACACCCCCAAAACTAGACATAAATTAAGGCATTCAAACATAGGAAATATTATAAAGTCAAACCATCAATATACAAAAACTGCGGAAGCTAAACATAAGTGTAAAGGGGATGTCATGTCACATCTAGGCCATTAACCTAGATGCAGAAGCTAAAATAAGGTTAACTACAAATCCAGAGTTATCATTATCCAAAATGGTTCATAGGCTGGAACATCTAGAACTAGAAAGGTAAGCTAGTCTAAGCCGGCCTTCATCTAACGCGTTCTCGTGTCACTAATTGCACCTGAAAACATAAGGAAGGTTAAACAACCGTTAGGGATAATGCTAAGCAACCCAACTCCAACGCGTTGAAATACATATTCATATACTTTATAGATAAAAAACATTTTGAGACTTGGAATACATAGATATATCACTAAGCAACACTAGCTTTAATTTATAAATAATGAGGAATAGAAGCAATAATCGACTCATCGAGGGATACACTCGACAATACAAAATCAATACACAAGAATGTCAAAAAAATCAACCCAACAAGACAATGATAATAGAATAAGGATCCCAAGCATGATAGGGTAATCATAATCATCAACAAGGTGGTTCTCATCATGTTACATCATCAATCACCGACAAGGTTCCAAACCCTCAAGGGACATAGCCAAACCAAGTCATTCACCACAGAGTCATCGCAACGACTTGTTACCATAGTGGATCAGTGTGGTGGGCTATAGTGCAAATAGTTAGATTAGATATCCGCGGGGTAACAAACCCGATTCATAGATTCCGCGGGTCAGAAGAGACCCGATTAGGGATGTGCGGGGTCACCGGACCCGATTATGGTTCGCGGGGTCACAAGGACCCATGGAGACAGTCCTAAATCCTTAAGTGTATACAACCAAATTGGGTTCTCCAATCCCCAATAAGTAGAAATAGTCCCGACAACCTGGTAAAGGCTCCCTCAGAGTTGTCCCTAACTATCATCCCGAATCAAATAGAACTACTACACTGTCCACCTATACCAACTCAATCACAACATCAAGGTTCCACACACAAGGAATCATAAGAGGCAATGCAAAGGAATAGATTCCACAAAAAGGTATTTGACATTAGATAAGCTCAACAATAGCTCAATCAAAGAATCATCAAGATAGGCACCACGAAGATACAAGCTTAGAACGATAATCCAAACTCAATGGATTCAAGAATGTGAAACGAGAAAGACATTCCAAAGGCAACACAACGATATCAAATGATTCCAACCAAAGATCACGACGAATAGGTATGCTCAAGTTACCAATTCAATCAAGAAGTAAGCGAAGGTTATCACAAGGAAACCATACTACCATAAAGGAAAAAGATGCTAATACACAACCAAAGAGTAATAACAAGTATACATACGAACATCATCAACTTCATCGAATAATCCAACGAATATCAATATTGGATATTAATTAAGATTCAAGACTCCAAATCCTAACCATTAGGTTTATAATACACCGCTCTACACTTACGGGACATCATTAAATACATACAAATACACAATGAAACAATAAAATGGAGGCCAACCAACATCGTACCAGTGGGAGGTTCCAACGGGTGGAAAAGTACTCGTTGAAATTCCACACCGTACCTGTAACACCCTGTGTTACGACCCCAAAAACCAATTAATCACTTAACCAATTATCCAAAGAAAGAATTAAATTACAATAATTAATTAGGAAAAGGCTCACCATAGTCCGTGGGCTCTCATCTCTAAAAACCCAACCCCTAGTCCTAAAAGGAATAGAGTTAGCAAGCCTATAGTAATTGGGCACTAATTAGGACTCTTAGATATATAAATAGGGGACATAGGAGGCACCTAGAACCCCCACCACAATAATCTCTCACCACACAAGGAATTCCAAGAATTCCCCTAGGAGAAATCAAGAAAGAAGAAAGACTTAGAGAAAGACCCTTCATAGCCAAGGAAATCAACTAAGGCTAAGAGGTAACCCATGTCTCAACAAAACCTATTTTCTTAGCTATGATCTCCCTCTTAGGCCTCCCTCTATATTCTCGTGTCTTGATGTATTCTCTTATGATAATTGTGTTATGATCTTGGTGATTGATGAGATGATTTATATGCTTTCTTGATAATCTTGGTGATCTTGATGTTGAAAAGAAGTTCTTGATTTTGATATGATGATTCTTGC